ATCAGTCTGTCGAACGTTGATGATGCTCCCATCGTTATCCCATCTGACATAGGCCTGGTCGGCGAGGCAGAAGACGCCTCCCTGCTCATGTCGTTCCTTGGGCACGGTGTGAAGTTCACATCCGGATGGGTTATCTCCGGGTAGCCATCACTGGAAGTCAAACCTACAGTTGGTAGTGACGCCATGCGTTCGTCGTACAAGGACTTCCAACTCTTCTTGGCCTTCGAGAACGTCTGCTCTTCACCCGGACTCATACTCGACATCATCGCGTTGTTACTCTGTTTGGCCAAGGATGAGTGTGCACTTGTCAGATGTGAAGGTTCCTTTCTCCATTTATAGCTCTTAGTCTCTGATTTGGACATTCCCCTGTACAACACTTCCTCCCGAGGTTCGACCTCGGGACGCTCCGAGGTCTCCTCTGTCCTCTCGGCTTCCTCCCGTTCGAGGACCTCGTCTGGCTCAAAGTCGGGTCGAATGAGCGTTCGCTCCCCTTCGTCAAAGGGATCCACCAGCGTTTCGCTCGCAGGCTCGGCCTCGGAGCTCCGCCTTTGATTGCCATCGAGGTTTTTCTCGCTCCTTAGTTTCATTCCGCTCACTGAAAGATCAGGTTGACCTTTAGTCGATTCGTCTTCAGCAAACGCGTCGGAAGCGCTGCTAAACGAGGTTTGGCTACGCCTAGTTCTAAACTTCCGCGTGCTTCCCTTGCTTAACCTGGGAATTTTAGTAGTCGATCCTAGCGAGTCCCTGCGCTGCATAGTTTGTATCAAAATGAAAGTATTCGTAATCTGATGGCAATGCAAACGTACCACAAACAAGATTTAGTTAAATCACTTAACGCTGCCTACTCGATTCCGTCAGTATCAAAATGTCTCTTAGATCTCTCACGACTAAACTAGTAACTCAGCTAAAGTTACACACAGGGTCTACCCAGTATTGATACAATGCTAACTCAACCCGGTTGTATAATATAACAGTAACACTAAGTTTCCACAAGATATAATCGGTACACAAAACACAATCGATAATCAGATAAGAATATCCTACAGGTGACAGCGACCTTTTGTCAGTATCAATTTATTGCCACACAATTTATCAAGTCACTGCTTTGTTAAAATTAAACAATCTTCGATAAAAAGCAGTGATGATTCAGAAATAGATGAATAAAACTTAGTCTTAAAGAAAAAGACTTCCCCCAATCGGAACGATCCGAAAGAACGAAGCCCAGGACACAGTCTTCTCAAGTGGGTGTGTATTTGCCTAATACACCCACCGAGGTCTTCTTTTGGGTGTCCTGCGATTGCCCGAGCTGTCCTACCCAGTAGCTCAAGGCAACCTCTTGGTCGAAAATTCGTCAAATCTATGAGAAAGCTCTCCCACACTCGGACTGCTCCAAGTGCACGAGAGTAGGGAACAATTCTTCTTCTCAAGTGGGTGTGTATTTGCTTAATACACCCACCGAGGTCTTCCTTTATTTGTTCCCGGATTGCCCGAACTTTCCTATTAAGTAGCTCAAGGCAACCACTCAACCAAAATCACAATCAAAAAAAAATTTTGTTCGGGTACTTCTAATACACCCAATATAGAATCCAAAGTTGATCACGAATTTCCGGGTCAGAATGGGTTCTTCTGATCCTGATAAGCACGCCTAATATCCTAATATGATCCTAATTAAATGGATATTTTCCGTTTCCCAAATTGCCACAGAAGGTTTACTCAAGTCTCTTACAAGGAGGGTCGCTAGAAGGTTTAAGACACTCCGGAGGGTTACCTCGGAGGGTACCTCAATCACTCAAGTTACTTAGGAGGGTATCTTAATCACCCAAGTTACTTCGGAGGGTCCCCCTAAATTTACTAAGGAGGGTCAATAAGATGCTTAATACGCTCCGGAGGGTCACTTCGGAGGGTACCTCCAAAATTTTCAAATTTTCTGATCTCACTTGGAAGGTTCTCCTACTAGCTTTAAACAGCGTCAAAATAAGCTAAGGGTTCTAGGGGGAGCTGTTTCAACTTCTTAGGGTGATCTCGTGGAAATTTTCCACTAAGGAGGGTTGCTAAAGGGTTTAGCTGACTCCGGAGGGTCACTTCGGAGGGTTCCCCCAAAATCAAGAAAAAGGGTTAAATCACCGCAGTAAAGCCTCTGAAAGCGGTCTACCTGACTTAAAACTAGGTTGGCTGACACGGTCAACCTTCCCAGTTGAATAAAAAGATGTTTTGATAAAATTTTCTGCCGCTCGGAGGGTGGCCCGTTACTTGGACCCTCCGAACCAACAAATTCTAAAAAATTTTTCTTTTCCGAAATAATCAACCCAAAAACGGTTGCGATTCGAAAAAGTGGTCAAAAACGTCGACTTATGGTACCAAAATTATCCCGATCGGATAACTAGTCTTTGAGAAATCGCCAAAAACGCGTTCGTCAAAATGGCCTTTTTCACCACCTGTATAGGATCTGAAAGACTTTTTTCGCAATTCCGGTCGAAAGTGCCTAAAAATACTTGAAATGAGCGTAGTAGCCCTGTACGGCACTGGAATAATGCAAAAAACCGGACCAAAATTGGTTTAGAAACAAAAATTTGGCCAAAAACTATCAAATTTGGACCCTCCGATTCCTTCCTTTTCCAAACCTTAAGTCGTTAGCTCTATCCACGGAGCTACTCGGAGGGTTACCCAAAAATTTCTCTAGTAACCGAGCACGTTATGCTAGCACGCTCCTAACGCAAAAAATTTTATTGCTCTAACTCTAAAAACTCAAAAACTCGATCCCCAAAACAGATTGACAAAATACAGAAAATTATCAAAATTTTGATCGAAAAATTTTCGTTTTCCTAACTTCTACTGAGTCTTTGCTCACGCGGTTTCCTTAGTGAAGGGGATCGAACTACGTAGCTACTCTCTATATAAAAGCTTTTTGCCTATCGGAAAAGCTCGGATATCCGAAAATTTGGGGGTCTACGGTTTGGTCGAAAATTGGTAATTTTCGACAAAAAATGGGTGTTTCTTGGGTCTAAATAGGAGATAAGTAATATATAATAAGGATAATAATCTATTAATAGTCGTTAATAAATAGTACTATACCCTCCTTTGCACCAAAATATCCGAATTAAGACCCTTAACTCGGAAATTTGTAATCGATGGAGGGTACAATCGGACCGCGCCAATCGTGCCCCCCACCACTTAAGTTTTAATGAAACAGTACCCGAACGATACTAAAACTGCTTCAACGATACCCAACAGTCATTGCGGATGTTGTCCTTGATGTTCCTGTTGAGTGTGGAACACGCTGATCAGCTTGCCACTCTACCCTCCGGCCACCGGCAAAATCACCATTAACGTGCTTAAACACTCAAATTACACTCGAGGGAGGGTATCCAACCCTTCACCAAAACACACAATCTTTCTATCAGAAACGATATAAATCAATCTGAAACAACAACAAATAGGAAGGTCAGATCACATCTCGTCCGGAAATAACATATAAACTGTCACTTTATGTTTTTTACTGTTTTTGGTCCTTTTTGGATTTTTTACTGTTTTTTGTACTTTTTTGTTTTTAAATAATTATGTTTTTGGCTTTTTCTTGGTTATACACTGTTTTTGTTTGGTTTTACGCTTTCTCTTTAGTTGTTTTTGGTCCCGGGACCTCGGGACAAGCGGGTTCATGACTTCCCACCTAACCCTCCGGCCCCCGGAATTTTCGGTGTTAACTAAGTTAAAAAGCTAAATTGTACTAGACGGAGGGTACGCACCTTCCCCCTAGTACAATAACGGTCATTAAGACCTCTAACTCGGGCATACGCCCGGAGCGGAGGGTTCGTCGCTGAAACGCTTGCTGATCATGATGGTTTCATGCCTTTAACAGGCCCACCCAGGAGCGCCATAAAAACGTCTATGTAACATTCGCCCAAATATCACACAGCGACGGAGCGTAGAAAAAGTACCTATTGACGACTGGCAGGCGTCAGTTACCTTAATTCTACTCGTTTTTTACCGTCTCGACCTTGCCAGTTGATTTTCTGGTCTGTCTAGGGCAAAGTAAAAAGTTACCATTTTTAGGCCATCAGTCAAACGACTTTTGATCAGCTTTCGTTTGCATGCGAACACAACCACATAGCTGAGTCTCGGATCCTCAGACTACGTGATTGTCATTAAAAACACGGCTCGAACAACCTATTTTATTATGTTTTTGTGTGACAGTTTTATATTAAATCCATTGGAGATGGATTGACCCTTTCCTTTTTCTATCTAATCATGCTCTGAAATATTAAATAATAACGGTGTTAATTAAGATCTAGGACATTACAGCAGCTGTTATGGTCAGTTTTCACAGTCCCTTCACATATAACAGTCTCTGGGGAACCAAGCCTCCGCTCCCGTGATTTTCTTGAGATAACACTCTTATCTCCTATATTTCGTGTCCCGGGAGGGTTCCGTGGTATTTCTCTTCCCCCCACTGAAGCCTCCGTCTCCACAAATATCTGTCGCTAAGGTCCTTATCGTGTGTTCTTTCCACGATAAGAGGCTCCGTGTTTTTCTGTCTCTGATACAACTGTTCTTCACAAAATATGGCGTCGTTCTGATTTTCGTCTTTTTCTATTCAAAATGGCCGTCTTTTTTCTATTTCTCAGAAATGTTCTTCTTCCAATCGAAATTTTAAAAATAAAAATTCTAGAACATTCTGACCCTCCGTCGCAACACTTTTTTGTTCATAAGGCCTTAAGTCACTTTTTTTTCTGTCGCGGGAAGGTTATGCTGTGTCATCTGGCAGAATGGCACAGTTAGAGATCTTTTTTGCATTTTCCTCGCTTGTGTTTGCGAAGCGCAGCTTTGCCTCTGTGTAAAAAAATATAATTGTAAATTACATGCCGGTGTAATTGTTGATTTTAAACTTATGTTCATGTATTTTGTAGCAGCATGTACGTTTAACCAAGAACCAAGTGGTTTTTTTGAATTTTTTGTCTGAAAAGAAAAAAGAGAATAATTGGTACATGGTTGTTTTCAGTTTGCATGTCAAAGCTGATTAAAATGGAAAGCGATCCAGAAATCAATGACAGAAAGCGCAAGCTGGACTCCCCTCCAAGAAGAGTAGGTGCAAGTGATGAAGATAGGTGCTGCGAAGTGTTGGTCTCAAATATCCCATACGAGTTTCATTGGCAGAAACTTAAAGACTTGATTAGAGACAAAGTCGGTGAAGTAGGACATGTCAAAATTTGGCAAGATGATAGCGGTAGGCACAAAGGGGCCGGTGTTGCAATTTTTCCATCGGCTGAGCAGGCTCAGAAGGCGGTTGAAGAATTGAATAGACACGATGTAAACGGCCGGCAGTTGGTCGTGAAAAAGTTCACTGACGAAGAAAAAAGAAAGCGACAAAGAGTTGAAGAGCGTAAAGAAGACAGGCGAAGTGGACCTGGCGGAGGTGGTGGTGGTCGTCAACCTGATCTGGGTGATCGCCTTGGTCATAGAAGTGGCGTACAAGAAGACGTGTCTGGTCGGGTTCTTGAGATGGTCCAAACTATTATGAGCTCAGATCCAAGCGTTTTAAAGCGACTGGGAGTAAACGAAAATGTGATAGATGCTGTAAACAGTGGACAATTGTCTGATACTGTGTTCGTTGCAAATGTGGATTTTGCAATGAAGTGGCAAGATTTGAAGGATATTTTCAAAATGGCGGGAAACGTCGTCAATGTCAAAATGGTTGAAGGTACGGATGGAAAGACTAAAGGTTATGGAACGGTTCACTTCACTACGCCATTGGAAGCTCTGGAAGCAGTAGCTAAGTTTCATGGTCAGTTGGTGCGGGACAGAAAAATAACTGTCAAAATTGATCAGATGTCAAAAAATAAGATATCAATTCAAGAATTGATGGCTAGTTATGCTCCTCCTCGGAACCCTCCTCCGGATTTGTTCTCAAGATCGTCCGGTATGGGCCTTGGAGATGTTTCAAGGCTAGGTGGAATGTCTTCGTTGGGCGGGGGAGGAGGTTTGGCTTCTGCGTCCTTGATATCGCGAGAATTGGAGCTCGAACGTTTAGCTCTGCAAAGAGAACGCGAGAAGATTCTTTTGCAGTCTATGAGTTCGGAGCGCTCTGCTTTTCCACCTGCGTCGTCGGGTTTCGGTGGGGATTTAGGAAGGTCTTTCGCTCCTAGTCGTCCATTTGAGCCACCCATTGATTCGTTCAGATCTAGTGGTCTGCCGCCGTCTGTTCCTCAGATGGAGCGCGGTGGTCCGGATTTGAGACAGAAAGAAATGGAACTTCTGAAAGAGCTGGAAATGCTTCGCTCTCGTATGGGACCTTCGGGTGCTAGTCCCAGTATGCCGTTAAGCTCTGCCGGTTCTTCTTACTCTGGTAAAAATCCCATGCAAGGTGGTAGTTTTGGTAGCCAAGGAATGCCAGGCTTGGGAAGTGAACCCAACCCGGCTCTCGCTCCTGGTTTCGGTCGACGCGGTGTCGTCGGTAACTGTACGATTTTCATTCGCAATCTTCCTTTCCAAGTCAATTGGCAGATGTTGAAAGACCGGTTCTCCGAGTTCGGCCAAGTGTTGTATGCTGAGATTAAGATGGAAAACGGAAAGTCGAAGGGTTGCGGCATTGTTAGGTTCTCGGGTCCCCAAGAGGCGGAAAACGCCATCATGAGGATGAACGGAAAAGTGATTGATGGACGCGAAATCGAAGTTCGTTTTGACAGTAGCGGAAATTAAAGAAAATAATGTCTGTTCTCGATGTTTTCAACTGTGTGTAAAAGTCAATTCAAGTCAACTTGGTCGAAATCGCGTCGATTTTATGGATGTCAATTCGCTATTTTATGATGCTCTTAGTTTTCAAACTAATCCAGATCGTGAGTCTTTCATTGCAACTTATTTTGCGGCAGTTTAAAGGTTTCGTATTATTGCTCTCGATTAGAAAATTCTTCGTTCACACAAATCAGTTGAAATCTTTGTGTTTTTAGTATGCTATTTTTTAAAATGTAAACTTGATACATGTCAACGGTTGTTTGTTTGTTTGTCCCTACTTTCATGTTGAAAGTTTCGAAAAAAGTTGTAGCTCTAGTTGAAGAACTTTCTAGAAGTAAAATCGTACATAATATATGACTGAACTCGTGTTTCGACTTTCCTCTTTCGTTGTGTAATTTAACTTTTCAGCATGACTTCGTTTTCTTTGATGAGTTAAGATCACATTTTCTTTTAATAAAGTTTGATCATTCGTGGTCTTGTGTCTGTTTGTTAAATTTTTAGCTTTGATAAAATTTGGTGCAAAAATTTCCGATATGATGCCGGAATCCAAATCAGAGAAGATTGTTGGACGAAGCTTACCACATAGTCTGCTATGTTTCAGTGGTTTGTATTGAATAGTGTTCTTCATATAAAAAGTTGAATACCCAGAAATTTTTAACCCCAACTCAGTGTTTGGACCGTGTGACAACTTTTTGCTCCCATTTGCGCTTATTTTTGACCAAGTGGTTAATATTTTCGGGTATTATATTATTATTAACCGAATGCATGTAGTAATAGTAGCCAAATAGTGTCATTTTCTTTTGCGATTTGTTCTTGATAAATATTGGCAGTCTTCAATTTTCTCAGACCAGCTTATTTATTTTTCCTTGAACTCGCGTTGCTTGCTTTCTAATACCTGATGATCGGTGAAAGATTTAGCTGTCTTTTGAACTCCAACTAGATGGGTCTGATGTTCGGTTAAAATGTCGTTATTTAAAAAAAAAAAGTCCGGTGTTGTGTTAGTTTTTTAATTTTGCTTCGGGTTTTCGCAATGTTCAATTTGGAGATTTAGCGATAAACTTTATCGAAGCGAAAGTTTGAGAGACCTCGGAGGCAAACATCTAAAAGAAACTTGAATTTTGAACTCTTTTCAAAAGCGAAGCAGTGCTTCGCACCAGTTGCGATAGAAAAGTAAATGATATAAAAAATAACAGAAAATTTAATTCCAAACTAATTTCAAGCGGATTGAAGGTAAAAAAATATATGTTTAAATAAAATGATGTAAAGGTTATTCAATTTTTTCTGGTTGAAACCATCAGATTGTTGCCCTTGTGATAAGAAAAGTACAACCGAGTAAAAGATTTTTCCCCCGTAAACAACTTCGTTTACAGAATGACAAATGGTAATTAGTATATTTTTAACCGCTAGCGTGGTTATCACTGCAAGTGCGAAACTATTAGCATGGTTGCAACTATTAGATTGAATTGGATGCACGTGGTCTGTGGGTGCTAGTTAAGATTATGTCGGCTTATTTCCCTAATGTTTTTATTCTATTAATTTTTGTTGGTATTAAATGAAAATGATCGTTCTAAAAGAAATTTTCGAAAAATTAAATCAACCTCTGAAGCCACCCGTTATAAACCTTTGAAAAACAACATGAAAAATTGTCAACATTTTAAATTTTGTTTATTTGAAAAAAGTCATTTTCCGGCTTTTTTGTTCATATGTTAACTTTGGTAAAAACCTTTGTTTATTTGATTGCGCGATCTGCTATATTTTTACGCTTGCATTTTGCAAGCATTAACTAATCGTAATATAGACTTTTCAGGTTAATTTATTATTTCGGTTTAAACAAAGTCACTGAACCATTTACTCACTTGATCTTAAAAGAATATCAAGTTTGTGGAACGAATTTGACTGTTTTAGTTTGGAGGTAAAGTCCATGCTTGATGACAAAGATCATGGGCTTGATACTAACCAGGAGCTGGTTTTCTTTATAAAATGTTTTTTTTTCTGGCTGAAATTCAATGATCGAACTTTTATTTGTCAACTTATTTTGCAAATCATCCAATTTTCTTCCAGTTGAAGCAAGTTTTGCTAAACTTGAAAGGTTTTTGATTCGTTCCTGTAATTGTTACATATCGGGCCTCTGATTTTTTCTTGTTTCCTTTCCTTTTGACGTTTTTTTTGCTAGAAAGGTTAATTGATACCTTGCTTAGATTATTTTATCATTTTAACATAATGGATGATCCGGGTGAAAGTTACTAGAGAAATGTTCACGAACAAATGTGTAACACAAAATGTTTGTTAAAAAATACCTTTTGATCATAATTTCAATTCAACTTGTAAATAGTTGAGAAACTTCTTGCTAGGCAAGGAGAACAGAATGTTCTGACCGCGGAACTCGTAGAAAACAGGGCAAGCTAGTAAGCTATCCTGAATTAAAGGATTCTGAATATTACTAAACCTAGTCACTATTCACATTTCGCTCGTTTTCTTTGGTGTAAAGTAATTCAAAAATTCAAAAAAGTTCATCGACACTGAAGTATAATTTCAAATTATTCAGTTGCAGCTCGAATCACCACTGAAAGTTGTCAAGTATGAATATTTATCGACTTGACACCATTGAGTTTATTTATTGCAACTGTTTTTTTTTTTGAAAAAAAAAATCATCGCGAAAAAAATCTTTAACACATTTGTTGATCAGAACAAAAACAAATCACAGTTCAATTTTCGTGTGCAGATCAGGCTGTTTTGTTACCAAAACATTTTAAGAATCAAGAACCGAATTCAAGTTGTTTTATTTATTTTCCAAAAAGTTATTAAGTCTGAAAACGCTATTGAAGTGCTTTTAATCTCGGACGCGATGAGGCACATGTAGACCCAAATGAACAGTTTTTCAAGCTTTACTCATCTCAAGGTTAACCAATTACAGAGTCTTAATTCTAATATTATACTAAAATAGCTGAATGTTTCCAAAAGAAACTTTTTGAAAAAAAAATCTATCGTTTTTGTACTCCAGCTAGCTTGGTGTCATTTTTTCCTTGTAAAGGCGAGTTTTTGTGCATTTTTTGTAATAATTAGGCAGCATGTAATTTTACGAAATCACTTTTGAAGCAGCATTCTTTGCGGCCTTGTTTCCGTGAAAAGGAGTGCGTGAAAGTTTCTCAATCAATTTGCCATTACTAAGTTGTTACGTTACATAGTAGCTAGGTATTTTAAAGTTTTGAGTTCTTATCCCGTAGTCTCTGATGTTTTAATGTTAAGATTAATGTTGCATTTTTTTCTGTATTTGCAAGGGTTTTGCAATCGGGTACTTGACTTTTTCCCCCGTAAATAACTTTGTTCTCTGGGCTCCTGGTGGTACTTCACTTCATAATCAATCAAAATTCTTAGTGCCTCCTGCACTTTTAGCCTGGAGGTAACGAATAAGCCTGGTTTTGTCGGCTTAGTTACCACATTTAGGATTTGTTTGTTTTTGCTGTAAACGATTTTATATTAGTTGCTTTAAGTGTTTTAGCTTTTAGAAATCCGGTTGAATCGAAGTTTGATTTTAAAAATTGTAATTTTACCAACCCGATTTGTTTAAATATCGTTTTTTTTCTTTTTTTTTGGCATAATCAGTTTCAGCTTTTTTATATCGACTCACTGGCCTCTTGCTGCGTCGTCTGATGACCGAAAGAAGTCTTTGTGTGCGTGTGTGTTTAGAGGGGAAGAGAGGACTTGATCACAAGGGTATTTTGAATTTTTTTCGGCATAATGGGTTTCTGCGCAAGTATTTTCAGTTTCAATTCCGCTTGATAAGTATTTTTTTTCCGATGCTAATATTGATTTTTTTTGTCTGGGCATGTTTTTAAAAAACTATGTTCATTTATTTTGATAGATCTAGTTGTATGTATAGTGATAAAATATCGGTATTACTTTTTTGCTGATTGTTTTTTGGCTTTTTTGTTGTCGGTTAAACTCTCGATTTAGTTTCGAATTGTGTATACCACTCGCATTCAGTACACATGTGGATTTCGTTGATACTATTTGGGCAGTAATAAAACTTTCCAATACGATTTCGCGGAACAATTTTCTTGATTTTCAGGTGATTAGCTGTCGGTTTAAATTCTGTCGGCTTGCTTACCTTTTATTTTGCTGCGAACCAATTTCCGACTTTGTTTATTTCCGACACTCTAAAGATCGATGAGACTTTGGCCCAAAATTTAGATTTTTTATTGCTCAATTTCAACTTCTTTTATTAAACAAAAAATTTAGGTTTTTACTTTTTTTTCTAGTTCTTTCTTTAACGGTTACAACGTTCAAAGTCCTTTTTGATAGTTCTTGAATCGCCTGCAGTTTTTTTTTACTTGCTGCATCGGAAGAGGTGCGAAGCTCAGCTTTGGCTTTGTGTTTCAAACTTGAACTTAAAACCTTTGAGAAACCTCATTTCGAGTAGAACAAACTCATCCTGCATCATAGTGCCTTCTCATTTTCTCACACAATTAAACTGACAACTTTTGGTTGAAAATTGGCGGCAATGAGATATTTTGGAGCGTGACTGCTGTGACTTTGTCTGCCGTGACTGCACTTTTTTGTATCCTTAATCCTATAACCGGAAGACTGCATTATGAAAAACCGCGCCAATGAACCCTTGTGGTGGATACAGCATTTAGCGTCCTTCTCGATGTCATTATCTAAATCAGACTTAACAACCAATACCAAGCGAAGCTGAGAACTGGAAGCTGAGAATTTGTTGAATTTAGAGACGCAAATTCCGGATCAAGAAAAGATAATTCAGGTGCATCCCTTACGATAAAATTGGTCATTCCCTTTAAAATTCCTATGCCTGTCGTTTTGTCTGTTTTTCTTGTGAAGATTCGATGAACTTAAAGATTTTTTATATAGGCCTTGATTATTGTTTTGTTTTGGTTTTTCAGACAAAAATTCTTGAACTTTTTTCGCGCTCAAATTTTATTTTAGTGGTTTGCTTTTTAATTTCAGTTCAGTTTATTTCCTTTGGCAGAAATAAGGGAAACTTTACTATTAAACGGCAAAAGTGTAAAGCTCAAGCAAAACGTGGTCGAGTTTATGATTTGATAGTGGATTTTAATATCAGATTTCCCAGCGGAATGGTAAATCTAACTATCGATCCAGTTCACCAAATTGGGTTAATTTTTTCAAAAAATTCAACAAGTGTTTTTGATTGTAAAAAAGCTTCAAGTGTTTTTGATCATAAGTGTTTTTGATTTTGATTTTAAAAAGCTTTAAGGCCATGTTTTTTAAAGAAATTCGAAAATCAATATTTTTCTGCTTCCTTGGGTTCTTTGACTCCTTTCCACTTGTCTGTTGGCTGTGTTCTGAATTTGAATGATTTTTTTTGTGCAATGTTAAGAAGTTTGTTTTCATATGCATTAAAGTGGGATTATAAAATTTCATGAAGAATCGATAT